TTTTAACTTTTATTAAGCTCAGGGATACATGTGCAAGTTTGTTACATAGGTAAATATGTGTCATCACCCAGGTATTAATCCCAGTATCCACTACTCATTTTTCCTGATCCTCTCCCCCTGCCCGCCTTCCACCCTCCAATAGGCCCCAATGTGTGTTGTTCATGTGTTCTCAACATTTAGCTTTCTGTGTATCCATGTGTTCTCATCATTTAGCTTCCACTTGTAAATGAGAACATGTGGCATTTGTTTGTCTGTTCCAAGATCTAATGACAGAAATACCATTTGACCCAGCAATCCCATTACCGGCTATATACCCAAAGGAATATAATCATTCTATTAAAAAGACACATGCACATATATGTTCATTGCAACACTATTCACAATAGCAAAGACGTGGCATCAACCTAAATGTCCATCAATAATAGACTGAATAAGGAAAGTGCAGTATGAATACACCATGGATTACTATGTAGCTATAAAAAGTCAATGAATTATTTTCCCACAGAAGATTGATCAAACATAAGAATCTGAGAAGAGTTTCGGAGAGAGCATAATGTGAAATAACCCTTTCAAAAAAAATTAAACATACACTTTGACTCTGCAATTCTACATCTAGTCATCTGCCATCCAGATATACTTGCACCTGAGTGCATGTACGCACAGGATGTTCCCTCCATCACTTACATGGCTATTAGTCAATGAACACACATATCTCCCACAAAAGGTAGAATGTATGCAGCAGTTACAGAGAACAGGTATATTACAGATAATATCATGGAATGCTCCCCATGTCACATTGCTAAACAAAAAACAAGTTCCAGAAAAAAAAAAGCATAATATTCTTCTTTGAAATAAAATTAAGAATCTGTAAATCTATATAAACATAGAGGACTCTATGTTTCATTTTGATTCTATATATTTCATTCACTATCCTTTCACAAATTTGTTTTTATATATTAATTATATAGTTTTAAAAATTAATTAGTGAAATAAACATATTGATTTAAGATAGCATGTTCTCTTTTTTTATTATAATATTACCAATCTATTAGTGCCATTTAGAAAACGTAAATTGACCAGGAATCTGGTACTCTCTATCTGATAAATTTATAGTCTGTTTTGGGACACCTACTTGATATTTTAAATATTTATGAATAAATATATTAGAATGTTAATTAAAATTTTTAATCATGGTTAAAATTTAAATGCACCAATTTTTAAAATGTGACTGCCTTATATCAACATTTTATTAATTTTACAGCAGTTTAGTGATTTCTTAAGGTTCTTAAGGTTTCTTAAGGTTTCTTAAGGTTCTTAAGGTAAGGTTTCTTAAGATTTCTTAAGGTTCTTAAGTTTCTTAAGGTTTAATTTTTAAGGTTATATTTGTGGTAGTTTTAAGATGTGATTATAAATGTATTGGCAATCCTCTCGTCAAGTCATATACCCTTCCTGTGAAATTTAGCAAACTTCGTGGCTGTCTCAGAAAAGAAAATACAGTGGAAGTGAGGATCTTAACTTCCAAATCTCAGAAAGATTTGTTAATACATTTTCTGTCTGTCTCTCTGTCCTCTTCTCTGTGTTTATTTCTGTCATTCTTTTTGCCTTTCTGTTTCTCCGCTCACTCTGGAGCCCTGCGCCATATCCCCAATCCCCAGGAGAAATATACCATTTGATGTAGAACTACATATGTATGCCTAAGAAGTCACAATTGGTCCATCATTCCAGTAGCTTGAGATTTTTAATACTAATCACCAAATATGTGAGTGATTAACCTTCAGATAATTAGCCCAAGACACCTTAGGACAGTAACCAATTGAGAAATGCTGTGCCATAAACACCTAGTTGAGCCTGGCCAACAACCTAGAATTAAAACAGATGATAAAATATTGCTGTTCTAAGCACATTCATTTGAGAGCAGTTGGTTACGCAGTGATAGACAACCAAAAAAAAAAAATATGTTTACATGTTTGAATTATACACCTGTAATAATATTGTATACCTATGAAAAAAATGTGAATCTATGTTACATTTTGTAACTACCTGTAGCCCAGAAAGAGGAGTTAGCATAGGATGGTGAGTAAGAGCTTGCGCTCTGAATCTGGATAACATATATAATCTTTGCAAAACCATTACAGAATCACATATGGTTAAGCACGTTACTTATCAGGTCTATGCTGTACATTCTCCTCCAGTGAAATGGAGATGAGGCAATGGCACTACCTACTTAATAGCGTTGTTGAAGCTGAAAGAGTTACTGTATATAACTGCTGTATATAGCAAAATTCAATTTGCTATAACTATTATTATAAAATTGGTAAGTACATTTCCACAGTGAATTTGGACTTAACATAAGCTAATACATTTTTAAATTTTATTTTTCAAATATGAATGATTAAAATAACAGCACTTTCTATTTCAATAATGTACTAATTGAGCACTTAGAAAAGAGAAAGCTATAAAAGGCATCCAAATAGGAAAAGAATTCCAGGTATCTCTCTTTGTTGATGATATGATTCTATACTTAGAAAATCCTAAAGACAGCCTAAAGCCTGCTAGAACTGAGAAATTACTTCAGTAAGGTTTCAAGATACAAAATCAATGTACAAAATTAATACCATTTCTATACACCAATAAGAATTCAGGCTGAAGTAGCCGGGCGAGGTGGCTGGCGCCTGTAGTCCCAGCTACTCGGGAGGCTGAGGCAGGAGAATGGCCTGAACCCGGGAGGCGGAGCTTGCAGTGAGCTGAGATCCGGCCACTGCACTCCAGCCTGGGCGACAGAGCGAGACTCCCTCTCAAAAAAAAAAAAATAATAATTCAGGCTGAAAGTCAAATCAAGAGCACAATCACATTTACACCAGTCATACAAACAAAATATACTTAAAAATACCTCTAACTAAAGAAACAAAAGATTTCTACAAGAACTACAAAGAACTGCTGAAATAAATCATAGATGACTCAAACAAATGGTAGAACATTTTGTGCTCAGGGTTAGAAGAATGAATATCATTAAAATGGCCATCCTAACCAAAGTCATCTCCACATTAAATGCTATTTCTATTAAAATGACAATGTCATTATTCACAGGATTAGAAAAAATATTCAAAAATTTACATAAAATCAAAAATTAGTCCAAATAGCTGAAGCATTCCTGAGCAAAGAGAACAAAGCCAGAGGCATAACATTACCCAACTTCTAACTAAGTTATAAGGCTGCAGACATCAAAACAGCATAGTTGTGTTACAAAAACAGACACATGAATCAATGAAACAGAATACAGAGTCCAGAAATACAGCAACAGACCTATAGTCATCTAATCTTTCACTAAGTCAACAAAAATAAGCAGTGGAGAAAAGGACTCCCTATTCAATAAATGATGGTGGGATAGCTTACTAGTCGTAAGAAAAAGAACGAAACTGAACCTCTACCTTTCACCATGCAAAAATTAACCTAAAATGAATTAAATGTTTCAATATAAGACCTAAAGCTGTAAGAATTATTGAAGAAAATCTAGGAAATATCATTCTGGACATCAGTCTTGGCAAAGAATTTATAACTAAGTCCTTGATAGCAAGTGCAACAAAACTCAAAATTCCCAAGTGAGATGTAAACTGAAGAGCTTCTAAACAGCAAACTATGGAGAGTGAAAAACAACTTATTGAATGGAAGAAAATATTAGCAAACTACCCATCTGTTAAAGGTCTAATATCTAGAATCTATAAGGAACATGAATAATTCAACAAGCAAAAATCAAGTAACCCCATTAAAAACTGGACAAAAGATGTGAACAGGTACTTCTCAAAAGAAAACATACAAGGAACTGACAAACGTATGACAAAAATGCTCAACATCAATAATCATCATAGAAATGCAAATCAAAACCACAATGAGACTATCACACTAGTCATAACTGCTACTATTAAAAAGTTTAAAAAATGATACATGGCACATGTATACATATGTAACAAGCCTGCACATTATGCACATGTACCCTAGAACTTAAAGTATAAAAAAAGAAAAAAAAAGTTAAACAAAAATACCAGATGCTGATGAGGATCCAGAGAAAAGGAAATGCTTACACACTGTTGGTGGAATGCAAATTAGTTGAACTACTGTGGAAAGCAGTTTAAAGATTTCTCAAAACAGGCAAAACAGAAGCACCCTTCCATATAGAAAACAAATTCACCTATTCTAAATAGAATGGAAATACAAATAGATTAATTTTTTAACTCATTATTAACATAATTAAGCATAAATATCTGGCTCACTCATTAAAAATCTATATTGTTTTATTAAAATTGCATTAAATATATAGAAAGGTTAAAGGAAAAAACGAACCTCCTTAGTATAGAGCAGAGATCAGAATAGGTTCTGTAAAGCCTCAGATGGTAAATATTTTTGGAATTTGCAAGCCCTTTGGACTCTTGTGCCTACTCGACTCTTCTGTTGTAGTACAAAAGCAGCCATAGACAATAAGGTAAACTCTGTAAAAGTAAAAAAATCCAACAAACTGTTAGCTAGACTAAGTAAGAAAAAGTGAGAACAGACCCAGTAAATAAAATCTGAAGTGAAAGAGGAGACATAGAAACTGAGGTTACAGAAACACAAATTATTACAGAATATTATTAACAACTATATACCAACAAATTGGAAAGGCTAGATGATATTAACAAATTCCTAGACACATACAACCGACCAAGATAGACCCATGAAGAAATAAAAAACCTGAACAAACTAATAACAAGTAACAAGAATTGAAGCTGTAATAAAGTCTTCCATAAAAGAAAATCCCAATGTCTGATGGCTTCCAATGAAATATTATTCAATAAAACATAGTGGGGTAAAAACTGGAAATGGTAGAGTAGAAAATATCAAAGCTCCATACTTCTATCAATTATTTAAAATAATTAATCCTCCAAAATATAAAAGAGGAGAAAACATAACAACATTCAGTTAAGCCCTTATGCTAAAAACCACACAATGGCTTCAAGTCCTGTCTTTTATATGCCTGCGAATATAAAATGTTAATTTATACTGTCAGGGTAAAATTCAAGAGAACTCTGTTTTAGGACCTTGTGAATTTCCTTGTGAGTAAATTAGGAAGGAGGCCCTCTGGGGAGGTATGTGACCTTCTATCTTTTCAGCTATTTATTTAGGAACAAAATGGGAGCCAGTTTTACATGCTTCATTTCCCAAGATTAACTTTTTATTTTGACATAGTGAGTTTAATGTCTCAAGATTTTTACTTTCCTTTCACACTAGCAAACACAATTCAGGAACACACAAAAAGCTTAAATGCCATAAACAAATGAATTTTATTCCAGGAATGCAAAATTATGGCAATATCTAAAAAAGTCAACTAATATATCATATCATTAGAACAAAGGAAAAAACTGTATAATCACTTCAATAACTGCAGAAAAACATATTTAATGAAATTCAATACTCTTCATCACAAGAACACTTAAACTAGAAGTAAAGGAGAACACCCTAAAGCTGATAAATAGTATCTATAAAAAAATACAAGGCTAACATCACACTAAATTGACTCTTCTCACTTCCACTCAATATTGCAGTAGAACTTTCAGCCAACAAATAGGAAAAAAAAAAATGAAATAAAAGGAATCCACATTAGAAAGAAAGAAGTTAAACTATCTCTATTGGCATATATCATGATCTTATAATAGAAAATTTTTACAACTCCACTAAAAAATATTCAAGTAAACCAGTAAAACGAGTTTTGGAGATACGAGGTCAATAAACAAACAAAGAAAAAATTCTACACAATTGCAACGGAAATTTAAACTAAAATAAAGATAAAACAATCACCCTTATAATACTGTGAAAAAATATAATTCTTAGCAATAAGTTTAACAAAAAATTGTACAATTCTCACTGTGAAATTATTACCAGTGGTGGTTACCCAAGTTACTGACAGCAAATCTTTATGGTTCTGCAGCAATCTGAATTATTGCCTCCTCAGAAGAATGAATTTGACTGAGGGGCATAAGACAGAAAAGGAGACCAGCACAAGTTTCAGAACAGAAGCGAAGATTCATTAAAAAGGTTACAGCAGGAAAGAAAGGAAAGTACACTTGGGACAGATCCAAGTGGCCATTTTGAAGGTAAAGTGCCGTGTTTGACCTTTGATTTAGGGTTTTATATGTTGGCATACTTCCAGGGCCCTGCTTCCCTTTTCCTTGATTCTTTCCTTAGGATGACTTGCTGGCATGCATGATGGCCTGCTAGCACTTGGGACATGAGCATGCACAGTATGTTTACTGGAGTCATATGCACGCTTTCCTGAGGCATTCTTCTCTTTTCTGGTGCCCCCAGAATGTCGTACTCCACCATTTGGCCCCTTAATGTGCATGTGTGAGCCCACTCGCCCAACTCCTGAGATCTTATCAGGAAGCTGCTTATTACCAGATTTGATTTTTTCTATCTCTAGGAAAGCTGCCTTTCCCTGGCTGGCTGCAATCAATTATTATTTTAGAGAGACACTGTGACAACTGCCTGACCATTAACTGATGGTCACCTAACTTTCCTGGTAGGGTGTGGGAGCCCTCTTCTGCCCTGTTTGTGTCTGACTAGCTAGCCACTGTAACAAAATCTACAAAACACTGTGGAAATAAGAACATCTAAATAAATAGAAAGGCATCTCATTTTCATTTATTGAAAGACCTAATATTGTGATACTGACCATACTCTGCTCCCCAAATTGATAAACAAAATCAATGCAATCCCTATCAAAATCCCAGATCATTTCTTTGCAAAAACAGACAAGCTTATTCTAAAATTTATGTACATATTCAAGAGATATACTAATAGCCAAAAGAAGCTATGTGTGGTGAAACACACCTGTAATTCCAGCTACTCAAGAGGCTGTGTTGGGAGGATTGCTTGAGTCCAGAAATTTGAATCTAGCCTGGGCAACATAGTAAGACATCTACCTCTTAAAGAAAAAAAGGAAGAAGAAAAAAAAATTTAAAAAGAAACTAAAACAATTTAAAATAAAAAACAAAGCTGGAAAATTTAGATTTCCTGCTTTTAAAGACAAATATAAATATACGATAATCAAGAGAGTGTGATACAGGTCTACAGCTAGACATGTAGATCAATGGAATGGATTTTGGAATATAGAAATACAGCCATGCTTTTAAAGTTTTTGACAAAATTTCAAAACAATTTAATGGGGGAAAGAATAGATTATTCAACAAATATAAGTGGGAAAATGATTATCCATATACAAAATAATTAATTTGGGACCCTCTACCTCAAATCACTTACAAAAGCTAATTCAAAGGTGATCAAAAACTTAAATGTCAGCACTAGAACTGTAAAACTGTAATAATAAATAACAGGTACTAATTTGTGTAACTTGGAAATGGTTCGTGAGATATGAAATCAAAAATAAAAGCAACCAAATTAAAATTGGTAAGTTAGACTTCATCAAAATCAATACTTTTGTGCTTCAATGAACATCATTAAGAAAGTAAAAGGATAGCCCAAAGAATTAAAAAAAAAAAAGGAAATCATACATGCAGTAAGGTTCTTATATCAAAAATATATTAAAAACACAAGTCCATAAGAAGACAAATAATTCAATCAAAATTAGGCAAAACATTTTCAACATGATTTCATATCAAGGAAAGGTAAAGCATAATGAGATCACTTCATTCACACTGGCTATAATCAAAAGAAATATAATCCCAAGTGTTGACAAGGTTGTGAAGAAATTAAAATTCTTATACATTGCTGTTGAGAATGGAAAATGATGCAACCACTGTGAAAAACAATCTGGAAATTCCAATGGTAATTTAGAAATTATATGCTAACAGACAATTCCTATGGTAATTTAGAAATTATATGGTAACTGCTACTTTGAATTGTAGCAATTATACTTTAACTTGATTGATTTATCCTCAGATATAAGTATGAGAAATGACAGAAAGAAACAATCTAGAGATTATATGGTAACAGACAGTTACCATCTAATCCAGTAATTGTACTTCTAGTTATATACCCAAGGGAAATGAAAACATGTCCACAGAAAGCTTATAGGTGAATGTTAATCAACATTATTCATAGTGGCCAAAAAATGGGAAAAAAAATCTATGTCCATCAACTGATACGTGAACATATAAAATGTGTATATATATACTATGAAACACTATTTAACAATAAAAAGGAATGAAGCATTTACATATACTGTTCCATGGATGAACCTTTAATACATTATGCTAAGTACTAGAAGCCAATCACAAAAGATCACATATTGCATAATTTTATTGATATTATTAAATGTCTAGAAAATGACAATCTATAGAGACAGAAATTAGATTAGTGGTTGCCTAGGAAAGGGTGGATGTAGAAATTTGGGATGGGGAGATAAAGGTTAATGAGTAGGATTTTGGGAGGGAGATAAAATTGATTGTTTTGGTGGCTACACAATTCTGTTAATATACAATGAAACATTAAATTTTATACAATAATTAGCAAATAATATGGTATATGAATGATATGTCAACAAAGTCTTATGAAATATTCTTTGAACCATGATATGCAAAAATGCTGATTCAGTGGCACAATTATTCATCTCCTGTTCTGTGTCAAGAGGACTGAAGACGTAGGAGCCTCTCACTTGCCACTGTTCTTGACAGTATTGTAAAATAATTACATAAGACTGATAACTTATATATGCAAGGTCATAAGTTATAGCTTGATTATAGTAGTTATAAACATAAAAGAAACATTAAACACACTGGAGTAAATATGAGGTCAACTACCTTTTATTTGTCTCCTTAGCAAGCACATACTCAGACCACTAATATTATGTACTTACTTTGAATTGCAGCAGTTATACTTTAACTTGATTGATTTATCCTCAGATATAAGTATGAGAAATGACAGAAAGAAACAGCAATTTGAAAAGAAGCATTTCATTGCACCAGGAGGACTATGAAATCAATGTCAGATATTCTGCTGATACAACTCAGTTGTTACTTTAGCTCTGGGAGTTGTGGAAAGGTGCTGGTGTGGCCCACAGAATACAGCCATTGGATGAATATAAAGACAATCCTAGATGAACTTGTTTGGAGAGGCCATAAGATGACTGTATTGACACCTTTGGCTTCCATTATTATTGACCACAGTAAATCATCTGCTCTTAAATTTTGAAGTTTATGCAACATCTCTAACTAAAAATAATTGTGAGGGTCTTTTTGTGAAACTGATCAATAGATGGATATATTATCTTCCAAAAGATGCATTTTGGTCATATTTTTCACAAGCACAAGAACTCTTTTGGGAATCAACAGACTGTGTTAATAACCTCTGTAAAGATATAGTTTTGAACAAGAAAATTATGGCAAAACTACAAGGATCTAAGTTTGATGTCGTTCTTGCAGATGCCCTTGGTCCCTGTGGTGAACTGCTAGCTGAGCATGTTAAAGGCATGTTAAATACGTGCCCTTTGTTGACAGTCTCCTGGCAACATACTTGAGAAGTATAGTTGAGGACTTCTATTCCCCACTTCCCACATACTTGTTGTTCTGTCAGAATTAAGTGATCAAATGACATTCATGGAGAGGATTATAAATCTAATACATGTGCTTTATTTTGACTTTTGGTTTCAAATGTTTGATTCAAGAAGTGGAAAAAGTTTTACAGTGAAGTTCTAGGTAAGTCATGTTTCTAATCAATAGTTAATAAGTCTGCTCCCTCATGATTTACATTGTACTTTGAAAGATAGACTATAAGCAAGTAAAAAGGAAAAGTCTAAAAGTGTTATAAGATCACAATGCTAAGGGAACTTTCAGAGGAGATCTCAAAGTTATTGATAAAGTGAGTCCTCAATAATGTACAGGAATAGGTGAAAACATGAAGGGGAGAGGAAAACACAAAAAGAAAAGCAGGTAGTGAAGTAAAGGCAGTTCCTAAGATTTCAAATTAGTATGCAGGAAAAAGCTGAGTAAAGTAGCAGATGACGCTGGAGAGGCAAGTTGAAGCAATATAATTATAAGGAGACCGAAGTGTCTATTAAGTTCAATGGGGAGCTACTGCACAGAGTTAAGAAATGGAGAGATATAATCAGATTCCATTTCTTTAAAAAGCTCCCAATGTTGTCGATGGATTATATTGCAAAAAGGCTACATTGTGAAAACTGCAGATGTTTTAGAAGATTTTGCATGAGTTTATGCAACAGACCATAGAAAAGTGGACTAGAATGTTGATAGAGATAATTATGCCTACTTTTATAATAATGGTAATTACTTCCTATTGTGTTGTGTTGAAAATATATTTAATACAGATAAAACACTTAAAATGTCTCTGGTACATAGTGATTCAAATATTACTAATATTGTAATGATTTTTATTTTTGTTATTACTATTAATAGTATCCATTAGTTAACATATGCCAGCCACTTGAGATATAATTCCTCTATTAATAGGAACAGGTTTCCCAACACAGCAAGACCCTCCAGCAAAGTCCTAGAGAACAGATCCCCTGTGGACTTGTATACATATAGATGTTTGGGCAGTCAGATGAACAAGATGAAATGCTAACGGTGTAAGGGTTAAGGCTTTTCAAGGTACACTATTCTTCAATGACATAAATGTGTCACACCAGAATATTAGGAGACAGAGCCAATGTTTACTTGTTTTCACTCTAGCATTTAAAACATTCATCAGTGAGATCCCAGAGGTTTATATCTTAGAGCATAAACGGATCAGTTTACCCTTTTAATGTTTCCTGCCTTATGCCAACTCTATAGGACACTTCAGTAAAAATCTCTGGGAAACTTGGGACTCATCCTCACAGTTGCCTGACAGAGAAGCACCAAAAAAAAAATGAACAAGGCATGTATAATAAGCTCTAAATAATGTCTACCACTTGCATCTGAATACTACCCTTAGATTTACAAAAGAGTTCTATCAGGGTATAGGATGATCTTCCTTATGAAGAAACAAAAGAACCTCATATATTTTACTTTAATGTCATTCTTTTGAGACATAATTAGAAAGTAAGCATTCCTCACTACTTTATTATATAATCCTTAAGAGATCTTTTTGTCTACCTTCTTATTCAACAGAAAACTGAAATCTTAGTCGAGTTAAATCCTGGTGTTTATGTTGAATGAAAATTGCATAGGCTCTATGTGGTAATTTCTCAAAGGACAAAGGCAGAAGTAAGACCAATGAAAATTCTATGCACTCTAACCTTATTCTCAAAAAATTTCCCCATTCACATTAGAGGAAAGTGATGGTGCCATTAGAAGGGGGAAAAAAGTAGGCAGAGAAGGAAGACAAGGGCAAGAATGACTAGCAGTACAATACTGATAAATACTAGTACTAGCTGTTGTTATTCATTTGCAGAAGGTAGGTTCGAATCCAAGTCAATAGTTGTGCAGTCTGTCCTCTAATTCTTTGTTACATAAAATAATTGTTGCCACAAATTTGCTTGCTTTTCCATTATGTATTAGATTCTCAGATAATGTTTGTATATGTTAAAAGAATAAGACACTTGGGGAAAAGTATTAAGTGTTATAAAATGCATATAGCCATTGGCTTAAAAATATACTCAGAAGAAATTATACAGAGAACAACTAAATCACGATGGTCAGATTCAACATTTGTGGCAGATATTCATAAAATAAACACTGGTGGTAATTCAAATATCTTACGTTGAGAAATGATTAAAAATGAATACAATGTGTGTACCATGCCATCACAATTATTTTATCAAAAAATATTAAATTACACTCTCAGCCATAGTACAGGTATTGTTGGATACTACAGAACAAAATGATGAACAGAACAGCATCACAATTTTTGTGTCCGAAGAAAAGGCATATGCAATGAGATAAACAAATTTTATATAAATGTAATATATGTACATTGAGTTATATAAATAGAATAAAACCATAATGAAAGCACACAGATTTTATAAATGAAATTTATTTTTTTCTAAATTTTCATAATTTCACAAAATTTTTTACAATGATTTTATATTATTCTGATAAAGATGTCACAGAATGAGATCAGTGATGGATCTATTAATGGCCATTTCATTACTTCAATATTGGGTGGATGAAGAAGACTCTAAGCAGTGAGGCTATGAGACAAAACATTGAACATATCATATTAAATGTGGCTACAGATCACTGCAATTACAGAGTACCTGGGTGCCCCATGAATCTCTTGGAATAATAGTATAATGACTGCTATTAAAACTGATGTCATAAGGTTAAAATTAAGGTTTTGAAAAATATCTGGCAATATATGATCTGTATGGACAAAGTAGATTTTTATTATTGTAAACAATATTTTTAAAAATAATGTTTACCCCAATTACCCCAATGATTAGGATCTGAAAGTATGTTTCCAATGGAAAGGGAACACCATTATTTTACAGAGAGAAAAAAAAAACGCTTTTTTTTTAAAAAGGAACAGCAACAAAAAGGTGAGCATGTAATTTTGCCATAATATTCACAAAACTTTTGGTTTTAAGTTTCTTTCTTAAGATTCTTTTTTTTTTTTTTTTTTTTTTTTGCTCTGGCCCAAGGGTCTCTGACTGACTTCTTTCCAGACCTTCTCAGCTTAGCAACTGAAGATCAACGCTGCCCCATCTCCTCAGAAGCCTCCTGGACCATCACAGATGCTTTGGGTAACTCTTACAGTGGAGGGTAAGTCCGTCCCCTTCTTAATCATTATGGAGGCTACCCACTCCACATTACCTTCTTTTCAAGGGCCTGTTTTAAACCTTTTAAAACTCTCCAACTCTGGTGCCAATTTGGACATTCTTTTTTAGTTATCCCCACCTGCCCAGCTCCCTTATTAGGTCAAGACATTTTAACTAAATTATCTGCTTCCCTGACTGTTCCTAGGCTACAGCCACACCTCATTGCTGTCTTTTCCCCCAGTTCAAAGCCTCCTTCACATCCTCTCCTCATATCCCCCCACCTTAACCCACAAGTATAGGGTACTTCTACTTCCTCCTTGGTGACCGATCATGCACCCTTTACCATCTCATTAAAACCTAATCACCCTTACCCTACTCAACACCAATATCCCATCCTGCAGCACGCTTTAAAAGGATTAAAGCCTGTTATCACTCGCCTGCTACAGCATGGGCTTTTAAAGCCTGTAAACTCCCATTACAATTCCTCCATTTTACCTGTCCTAAAACCAGACAAGGCTTACAGGTTAGTTCAAGATCTGCACCTTGTCAACCAAATTATCTTGCCTATCCACCCAATGGTGCCAAACCCATATACTCTCCTATCCTCAATACCTCCCTCCACAACCCATTATTCTGTTCTGGATCTCAAACATACTTTCTTTACTATTCCTTTACACCCTTCATCCCAGCCTCTCTTCGCTTTCACTTGGACTGACCGTGACACCCATCAGGGTCAGCAAATTACCTAGGCTGTGCTGCTGCAAGCCCTCACAGACAAACTCCATTGCTTCAGTCAAGCCCAAATTTCTTCCTCACTTGTTATCTATCTCGACATAATTATCATAAATACACCCTTACTCTCCCTGCTGATTGTGTCTGGCTAATCTCCCAAACCCGAATCCCTTCTACAAAACAACTCCTTTCCTTCCTAAGCATGGTTAATGAGGACAGAATTCTTACACAAGAGCTGGGACTGCGTCCTGTAGCCTTTCTGTCTAAACAACTTGACCTTACTGTTTTAGCCTAGCCCTCGTGTCAGCATGCAGCGACTGCCACTGCTTTAATACTGTTAGAGGCCCTAAAAATCACAAACTATGCTCAACTCTCTACAGTTCTCATAACTTCCAAAATCTATTTTCTGCCCCCAACCATTGCTCAGGACAATGCTTATGCTGACAAGTTAGATTAAAAAAGCAGCTAGCGTTCCAACTTCTATCCCTTACGGCAGTTTTTCTCCTTCATATCGGCCACTCCCACCTACTCCCCCGCTGAAACTTCCACCTATCAATCTCTTCCTACGCAAGGCAAATGTTTCTTAGACCAAGGAAAATATCTCCTTCCAGCCTCACAGGCCCATTCTATTCTGTCATCATTTCATAACCTCTTCTATGTAGGTTACAAGCTGCTAGTCCACCTCTTAGAGCCTCTCATTTCCTTTCCATCATGGAAATCTATTCTCAAGGAGATCACTTCTCAGTGTTCCATCTGTTATTCTACTACCCTTCAGGGATTGTTCAGGCCCCCTCCCTTCCCTATACATCAAGTTGGAGGTTTTGCCCCCACCCAGGACAGGTAAATTGACTTTACTCACATGCCTCCAGTCAGGAAACTAAAATACCTCTTGGTCTAGGTAGACACTTTCACTGGATAAGTAGAGGCCTTTCCCACAGGGTCTGAGAAGGCCACCATGGTCATTTCTTCCCTTCTGTCAGACATAATTCCTCGGTTTGGCCTTCCTAACTGTATACAGTCTGATAACGGTCCAGCCTTTACTAATCAAATCACCCAAGCAGTTTTTCAGACTCTTGGTATTCAGTGAAAACTTTATATCCTTTACCATCCTCAATCTTCAGGAAAGGTAGAACGGACTAATGGTCTTTTAAAAACACACCTCACCAAGCTCAATCACCAACTTAAGAAGGACTAGACAATAC